GGAGACTAGAATGACAGAAGAGCAACCAGCTGTCCATCCCTTTACTGCATTTCTATTCCGAAAATAAAATGTATGGCAGAGGACTCTCCAAACTTTCATCTCACCTGCAAAGGTCAACTAGACAAGTTCTTATAGGAATAAATCATCAGGAAAATGACTGTCATAATTTGGCATAAATCAATGATTTTGGCTTTTTATCTGTTTGTTACAGTTCGTTATATCTTAGTATAATTCAGTGCAACTGAATAGGAGTGGTAAGGTCTCTGTTTGGCCTCCATTAGTAAATGCCATGATAGTTTGAACAAGTGGTTCTCAAGGATGGAAAAGATTTACTATTGGATTCCTGGAAAAAGTGGCACTGACTGTGAAACATTGTCTGTCTGTGTTGGTCACAAAAACCAAAGAGGTGAAGTCAAAGTCTAACCCTAGTTGGAATAACTTAAAACAATTACAAAATGATAATAAATTAACACTTACATACACAAAATAGATTATCTGCCTATCTATTGGTTTTCACAAGTGACATTTCTGATGCAAAAATACATCAATTGACTTGTCACTGAAACATACATTGACCTGCCACTGAAATGTTCATAAAACTCAAAGAAAAAAACGAAGTTGACACCAGCTAGACAAAATTTCATTAAAGTCAATTGATAAGAACTCTGATCATCTGGTTGCCCCTCGTATCACTACAGGCATTCACTGATTCCTTCAACAGCACTTGTCATCGCCAACCATGGTGGCCATTTGCATAGGGCTAGGAAACAAGTTGAGAGGGTGAACACGTCTTCACTTACGTAAATGGCTGATGCATTTTGAATTCATTTTATTGTATGACATATGTACAACACTTCATGCCATTTGTCTCCAGTTCGATCAACAAATATCCTTCATATTCAGAAACTCGATCGTAGCAACGTTGATAAATATATTTCAACAATCAAATTACAACCATCGGTTTCAGATTAACATTTTGTTCATAACCACACCACGAAGACGCATTTTTTCCACCAACCAATCTAGGTTAACCTCAAGGGACTCGAGATTAAACAATAAACATATTTCTGCTCTATATGTATCAATATGATCCACGCGCGCTGTATTGCTACAATGTAAACAAATGTGGAACCTTGAAACATTATCAACGTTTGTATCTGCTGTTTTAGGTAGACCTCTTTTATTACCTACATTTTGGAACTAAAAATAACGGCAAAACGAATCACTATTAACCCAATAGAACTACTATGTCACCGTTATTTCGCTACTCATCTCACATTGTCCCAGTACTTCAGTTGGACTGAAGTCTGGAACCTTATCACATCTAAAACCATGATCCGGGCATTGAGGTTTTTAGTTAAACTTCAGTTTAGATAGGCCGCGGCTAAATCCTCGGTCTCACCTGACTCGCCTTCACCCAGCAGGTTCCACTCGCTTCGGATTTGGTTTTGGGATCCTGGGGCGCTGCAGTAAATCCTCACAACCAGTCAGTCCCCGGCACTGGCAGGCAATACAAAAGCGCTGATTGGGCCCCGTCAAGCTCTCACGCTCTCTGTCCGTATCCAGACAGACAAATTATTGGACTGTGCTTGTGTCACTGACGCGCCTCTACTCAAAGGTGTATGTTGTTGTCTGGAGGGGAGAAACTAGGAGAAATTGACCGAGATGCCCATCCTGTCAACAACACAATATTTAGGCTATATGCCATCGTAAATGTGACATATTCTCATGTTGTCAGTTGCTCTAGTGTAGACATCACGTTGAATTGATTGATTGTAGCCTACTTTGATGCAAGTTTTTGTAGGATATTTCTTATGCAATCACTTGGACCTTATGTCTTTTAAACATCATATTTCACAGCTGTGGTAGGCTACCAGTATGGGACCAGCATTCAGCATGCATTATGCACGGTCTAACAATAAGCAAAGGTAATTTAATTGCCATGAGTAATCAACACTTAACACAGCCATGCAATCTCCATAGACAAACATTGACAGTAGAATGGCCTTACTGAAGAGCTCAGTGACTTTCAACCTGGCACCATCAATGGATCCCACCTTTCCAACAAGTCAGTTCATTAAATTTCTGCCCTGCTAGAGCTGCCCCGGTCAACTGTAAGTGCTGTTATTGTGAAGTGGAAATGTCTAGGAGCAACAACTGTGACGTGGTAGGCCTCACAAGCTCAAAGAACGGGACTGCAGAGTGCTGATGCACGTAAAAATCGTCTGTCCTCGGTTGCAACTCACTACCGAGTTCCAAACTGCCTCTGGAAGCAACATCAGCACAAGAACTGCTCGTCGGGAGCTTCATGAAATTGTTTCCCATGGCCGAGCAGCCGCACACAAGCCTAAGATCACCATGCTCAATGCCAAGCGTCGGCTGCAGTGGTGTAAAACTCTCCGCCATTGGACTCTGGAGTAGTTAATCAAGCTTCACCATCTGGCAGTCTGACGGACGAATCTGGGTTTGGCGGATGCCAGGAGAACTCTACCTGGCCGAATGCATAGTGCCAACTGTAAAGTTTGGTGGAGGAGGAATAATGGTCTGGGGCTGTTTTTCATGGTTAGGGCTCGGCCCCTTAGTTCCAGTGAAGGGAAGTCTTAACGCTACAGCATACAATTACATTCTAGACGATTCTGTGCTTCCAATTTTGTGGCAACAGTTTGGGGAATGCCCTTTCCTGTTTCAGCATGAAAATGCCCCGTGCACAAAGCGATGTCCATTCAGTAATGGTTTGTCGAGATCGGTATGGAAGAACTTGACTAGCCTGCACAGAGCCCTGACCTCAACCCCATCGAACACCTTTGGGATGAATTGGAACGCCGACTGTGAGCCAGTCCTAATCGCCCAACATCAGTGCCCGACCTCACTAATGCTCCTGGCTCAATGGAAGCAAGTCCCCGCAGCAATGTTCCATCATCTAGTGGAAAGCCATCCCAGAAGAGTGGAGGCTGTTATAGCCGCAAAGGGGGGGGGACCAACTCCATATTAATGCCCATGATTTTGTAATGAGATTTTCGACAAGCAGGTGTCCACATACTTTTGGTCATGTAGTGTACATGGTGAATATCCATGGTAGGTTTTGTTATTTACCAGTTTGTGGAGCTCACAGAGCAAGCAAGCATCTGCTGAGATGGTTTGGATAAAAATGTCTGATGGCCATTACAAAGATATAATAAAGCATTAGAAAAAAACTGCCATTAAGAATAACAGGTGAAGAAAATAGATTAATCTTTAGAAATGTAATCAAGTATGTAAAACAAACTGACAGAGAACTTGTGAAAGAACAATTACATTTTTATTTAAATATAAAAGTAAAAACAGGAGTGTTAACAGTTTCCATTGCATAGTCAGATTCATTAGAACAACAATTTATCAGGCAGTTGGTCTATTGTCTGGTTAGCTTAACCAATTTCCCTTACAGCTACAGCACTATGTGGAGAGAATAAGGACAGTTGTATTGTCATGTTGGTCCACATCAAATGGTGGAAATTGTGACTGGCCTGAACATATTAGTGTTGAAAAGAGAATGAGATAGAATAAAACAAATGAAGACTGACATAATGGTAGCGGAATGACAGATGAAAATACAAATAAATGACAGAAAATATGTACATAAGTTTGAACCAAGTTTCAAGCCCAGACTAAAGAAAAGGTCAAGCCTCTTAGGTTAGGGGTCAAAGGTTGGACCACAAGGCTCCAGCTGACAGAAGCCTAGCTAATGAAGTCACCTTCACTGCAATACCCTGTTTCATCAGTCTTTAGGGTCAAATACACAAATTCCTTACAATGTGGCCAGCCCTGTCTGTAACCTACACATCAGGGAGACAATAAGCCATGATCACAGGAAGTCCCAAGGCACATGTTACAGTACCAGTTCCTGTTGCTAGGCCAATGAAACATTGACATTTGAAACGTTAAGCTGCACAACATCAAATCCCCTAAGAGCATATGTATGTGGAGTCGGGAGCAAATGCAGCAGTCCTGTGCCCATTTCAAGTAGTGCACAAAATACTAGAGGATTGTGTAGGCTGCTATGTGGCAAACTGTAGCGTTTCTATTTAAAAATGTATGAGAAGTTGCTCAGTGAGTTTTTGAAAGGGAGAAAGGTGGTGAAATCAGCCGGCTGAAAATAAGATTAGGATACAGTCGTCGTATAACATCAGTGGATTAAATAAATGATAAAAGATGAAGCCGTTCGTACACAGATAGCACCACTAGAGATAAACAAATATTGTATGTAAATACGGATGCACATCCCTTTTGATTAAAATCCCTTATTAAAGTAAAGCTGCTCTAATATCTTAAAGTAGATAAAAGATAAAACAAATCTGGGAGGGTGAGATTAATACAAATTGAGGCATACTATACAGCTGTCATCACAACAAGTAAAATGAGGAGCAACATCTCTCAAGGCAAATAGTTGGGCAGCAGGTAACCTCAAGGTTAGAGTGTTGGGCCCGTTTGTCTCACATCAGATAACATGACGGCTGTCTGCACTGATTTGTGGTTGAGGGACGAGCGTCGCGTAGGAGTGACACGATCTGACGTAAGACAATGGTGTTGGGCCAGTATAACCGAAAGGTCGCCGGATCAAATCCCAGAGCCGACAAGGTAAAACATCTGTCTAATGCCGTTGGGCAAGACCTTAACGCTAATTGCTCCAGGTAGGCCGTTAATAATGTCTGCCCCTGGCTGGCTCTGACCCCAACTCTCTGCAGGTGTCTCAGAGGGAGTTGGGCTATGCAAAAACACATTTGTACACACTTGAGCAAATTCATTATTGTTAAGAGGAGCAACCCTCCTCATCCTTACTGACCATGTTTTGTGAATTTCCTGTTTGAATAGCATCCTTCTAAATTAACTGATTGGATCAATTTACTCAGATATGAACAAAAACGATCCATTGGTACAAAAATAGATGTGTATAGGTATGAGTTAATAATAGCATTTGGCCCCGTTTTGGGGTAGGTGGTCTGGCAGTATCCTCTAACCCCTCACTTCTTGAAGAACTTCTTGTTGAGGAGGAAGATGAGCAGGTTGACATTGACTTTGGCCTTGTCGAACATCTTCATCACCGCCACTCCCTCATACTGCAGCTGCAGCAGGTCCTACAAACACAGATGTGTGAATAGACAGTTCTGAAATCCAGGATTTTTCAAAATAGCAGCACAAAATAATTTATAATTGCAGCAAATGCAATATAGAGCACTGATTTCAGTGAGACTGTGATATACATCAATTACACAAACACAGACCATAGGTTTGTATTTAAATGTCTGTTCTAGTTTCATTCTCCTACTACCCAGACTCACCTGGTATTTGAGGGGGAACTTCTCCATGTCCACCCCCAAAAAGCGAGCCTTCACCTGGAACGTGCCGCCCTCCTCACCCGGCACAATGTCAAAGATCACATTCTTAAACCTGAGGAGAAATAATAAAATACATGTCATTTCTTGAGGACCTAGGTAACCATACATGGTGATTTGGTAGGGTGGTGTGTGTGCACATTCATGCTTGAGTGTGTGTGTATACTCACTGTGTAACTGGCAGGTCCTCGATCTCCAACAGGACTCCTTTCTCATGTAAACGGGCAGCAGTGTAGGTCAGAGTGGGCTGCTTGCTCTTCTTCCCTTTGCTCTCCGCTGCCTTCTTTCCACTCACCTTACTGAGGAAGAGAGAGAGAGAACTCAGCACAGTAGCAGTGTGTTGCAGTTTTCCTACTGAACCTCAAGCAGTGTGGTCACACTCCCACATGTGTTTGTGTGTACCTGTGTTTGGCGGTGAGGTTATCCAAGCAGGTGGTGATGTACTGACTGTAGAAGTCCACCTGTTCGCTGTGGAAGGAGCTCTTGCAGTGCAGGCTGCCCATGGTCTGTCTCAGCTTGACCAGCTCAGCCTGACGACGCTGCCGGTACAGACGCTGGTGGCGGATGTCCTGGGAGGGGTGGTTTGGAAAGAAGGTAAAACATTATTATTATTTTTTTTGCAAATACAAAATGGCGACCAATTGCGACGAGCTAGATGTAGTTGATTTGGTATGATATCTGTCTCCATCCACCTTGGCTATGAGCTGTAGTATCTGTGTCTCAGAGTCAGGTGGGGTCAGGACCCCCAGGCTCTCCAGCCTCCTCAGGCTACGCTGGATCTTCCGCTTCTTCTCCTCCAGAGACAGGTTGCCGTCGGCAACGATCGACTGGTTCCTCTTCATCTTCTCGGGGGTGCGGGCGTCCCTCTGGGCGCGGCGGTGCATCATCCACCCGTGCTGCACCTCCTGAGAGGAATACACCAGCGGTTAGGGGGTTAACTACTACCAACTCCCCATGGATGGATTAGTGAGAGAAAGAGGGTGTGTGGGAGCCCAGTGAAGAGCTGTGGAATATACCTGATCCTGAGAGGAGGCGGCTCTGAGGACCTCACTCAGTGTGTCTCCAGGCTGGGCTCGGATCACGTCGATGATCAACTGTTTGGTACTGCAAAACACAAGCACACACACTTCACATTAGACATGCCATTTTCATTGTGTGATAGTCTTACCACACTGAAATGTTAAATGGTTTAAGCCCCTACCTGAGGAGAATCCCCCTGGCATCAGGGTGATCGTCAGAGCCCCTGAACACATCAAACTTGCTGGTGAGGGTGAGGGACACCTCCATCTTACTGTACTGGGCCAGGGTCTGCTCTGTCTGGGGCTCCGCGGGGCTTACAGCCCCCTCACCAACCAGAGCATGGATAGTGGGCACCTTCCCCAGGTCTCTCAGCAGAGTCAGCAACGGGTCAGACTGGTCAGGACACAGGGAGTCCTGATGCTCCAGCAGAAGCTACACACACACACACACACACACACACTTTAGTGCACAGGATCTACTAAAATGAAAAGGTCTGTTCCCAACCCACCTCCCCCTGAACCCATTAAAAACAAAAAGTTAGTATGCATCTTTAGCTTATGTGGCATCCAGACCTTATGTGTGTTGAGGAGCTCACTGATGGAGATGTAGATGACAGGCTTGTTGAGGATGACCATCTCAGAGTACTCATCAATGTTAAAACGCTCCTCTGGCTCCGGCACGTCACACGCAGCACGCAGGAACTTACTGCGGAAGATATATGAATAATGCTTAAGAGCCATTTAGCATGTATAGCCTAATTATAGTAATAAAGCTCTCTTCTGAAAAGGTGGTGGAGGTTGCGCTAAAAAGACGGGATGACTCACCGGAACTTGGAGTGCGTCAGGGTAATGTAGTCGTTGAGGGCGCGCAGGTGAGCGCCGTCGCCGTGGAAGTGTTTGTGTGAGGCGGCATGCTGCAGGATGCGTGCGATGGAACCCAGGATGCGGCGCTGCTCAGGGAGCAGGGAGGAGCCGGCCGAGAACTCTACCACGTCAAAACCATCCGGAGCCACCACGGCTGGGTTCATGTAGCGGTAGTACACCAGGTTCCCCACAATCTGACCACAACACAACCATCATAACACCAGGCTCCCACAATCTGACCACAACACAACCATCATAACACCAGGTTCCACACAATCTGACCACAACACAACCATCATAACACCAGGCTCCACACAATCTGACCACAACACAACCATCATAACACCCCACATCTGACGCACAACACAACCATCATACCCAGGCTCCACACAATCTGACCACAACACAACCATCATAACACCAGGCTCCCCACAATCTGACCACCACGGCTCCAATCACCAACACCATCATAACACCAGGCTCCCACAATCTGACACAACAACACAACCATCATAACACCAGGCTCCCCAAAATCTGACCACAACACAACCATCATAACACCAGGCTCCCCACAATCTGACCACAACAACCATCATAACACCAGGCTCCCCACAATACAACCATCATAACACCAGGCTCCCCACAATCTGACCACAACACCAGGCTCCCCACAATACAACCATCATAACACCAGGTTCCCCACAATCTGACCACAACACAACCATCATAACACCAGGTTCCCCAATCTGACACAAACAAACCGTATCTACACCAGTGATTATCTAACATCTGAAAACGATCTGGTCAGTAGTATACCTTGTAAAGCTCGTCCTCGCTGGCCTGAGGAAACTTCTCATGTAGAGAATCTCTCAGGACCTTGGCTGTGTAGCGCATCCCATATCTGAAACAGTGGGAGGAAGGAGAAAACCTGAGAGTTGAACTCCCATCACAGAAAATAAAGTCTCAGAGAAACAAATCAAACTAAATCAATTTGTAGCCAAATCTGGTGAGAAGAAGACGTGAATGTCCAACAGCTGTTTGATTAGGTTGCTGTGATTCAAACTAATTACATTGAGAATGAAAAAGAAGCTCTGCAGAGTGCACATGGAGGGCCTCTTACGGTAATTTGTGCAGGTTGCTGGTGATAGCGTTGAGCAGGCGGTCTGTGAGGTTCTTAAGGTTGACGATGGAGATGTCCAGGCGACGCTGTACCTCGGGGTGGGCCAGGGCCTGCTCTGCACTCACCTCATAGGGCAGGGAGCTGGGGGTGGGGAGAGGAGACAGAGTATGTTGCTGTGTCTGTATGCATGTACATACTGTTCTCAATGGACCTCGAAGCCAATCTGAGTACATATCTTTAAATCCCAGTCATGAGCAAATCAAATCAGTGCATTCAACTAAAGTAAGTAAACCAGTCTGCATAGTATATGTATTTCTTGCTGTATACTGACCAATCTAAAACTGTCTAGTCAAGCCAACTCTAGTAGAGGGATCTCTATAGGAGTATGTGTGTGTGCCGCTGTGATACTACATTTGCTCCTGGCTCAGTGCTGACCTCTTGTGGCCGGTCTGGGTCTCGGTCTGGTTGACCCAGCTCTTGTAGATCTCGCAGGGGTCCGTGCGGATGCTGAGGGTGCGGTCCTGCAGCACCTCTCTAATGGCCGGCCCCAGGATCTCCTTCAACGCAGTCTGACCGCGGGCATGGCGGTAGAAACTCACCAACATCTTAATGACTGTGGGGTTCCCGGTCACCACCTCCTGGGGCTGGTCCACCTTCCACCTGAGAGAGGGAGGGAGAGAGAGAGAGAAAAAGTGAGATGTTGAGTTCAATGCAACTTGATCCCCCTGAGCAGCCTGTGTGTGTATAGTGTGCGAACACTGACTTGATCTCGTGGCGCAGCGCAGTGGTGAACAGCTGCAGCAGCAGGTAGGCCTCCCTGCAGTCGGAGCCGTAGTTGAACAGGGTGAAGATGACCGTCTCCATGAAGAGAGTGCTTTTATTCTGGGGCATCAGGAAGATCAGCTGGGCCAGGTACAGAGGCTGAGTCTTGAGAACACATACACTAAAATTAAACAAGCAATTGTAGAAAACTCAGCACAGGCCACATATGAGGGGGCAGATAAAATATCTGACCCTGTATCAATAATACCTATTCAAAAAATGTTGTTTCCTTCAGCTCACCTGTAGCAGATAGAAGAGGTGCTGGTAAGCCTCCAGTTTCTCCCTCTTGTCTTTGCTCAGGGCCTTGAGGCCCTTGCTCTTGTCCAGAGCCATCATGTCCGACAGCTGCTCCTTGTTCTTCTTGGTCAGCTTCTTGCAGTGGGAAACTACCTCCTGTAGTCATAAATGGATGAGAAGTGTGATGGACTATGGACACTTCTAGGCCCATTCCAAAACAAAAATAAATAGAATTGATGAAACAAGTGTAGTAATAACAGAATGAACTAGGCTCCGACCTGCAGTGTGACACGGTTGCGGACCAGCAGTCCTATCTTGAGGTCCATTAGGTCCAGGTCAGTCTCTAGCTGGCGGTTGGAGCGAATGGTCCTCACCACCTCCTCCCTCATACGCAGCAGCTCCCCCTCCTGGCGGATGTCGTTGTCACCCATCTCCAGCAGGTGGGCAAACTTCCTCAATACCGACAGCGGCGGGGTAGCGGAGTGGACTGGAAGAGAAAGATCAAGGTGTTGACACGGGGGATGTCAATGCAAGTGAGGCTGGTCTTATGCAATAGACTTGGTATTTACATTGGACTTTAGTTATGATCATTGTAAAAAAATAAAAAGAGTGTGGGAAACCAGGCACAGACTTGTGAGTGGAGCTGTGGCCACCTACCAAGCATTCTGTATTCCTCACGGGCCTTGTTGGCTCGGAAGAATGCCTGGATCTTTATAATGGCGCCCACCTGTAGAAGGACAAAGGTCAGGCTACAAGCAGCAATTTCCCCCCAACAAAATGGTTCAAAATTAGAGATGAGGGTTTGTGTACAGGGGTGATGGGTTGGTTGCACTCACGTGACGTCTGAAGAAGCGCCGACGAGAAAGGTATTTCCTCCGAGCAATCCACATCTTCACACTGGCCTGGAGCTAAAACACACACCCACGTGAGAAACAGTAAGAACAACAGATGTCAACTTCAACACAGGATAACACAGGGTTTGTCATCTAATTTACAAAGAGCTTATTTGGTCGACCTTACCGTGACCACAGCCCTCCAGTTCTGGTAGAGATACTGTAGCCTCTTTCTGTAGGCCCTCTGCTGTACGAACCTCCTCCAGTGGGACTGGAAACAAAAACACACATTGAGCACCGTGCCGTTTGGAAAATGTATTTGGGTATGTAAAGTTAGTCTTTGCACTGTGGTTCTATGCGTTAACCCTTAGCTAGCTGACCTGGATGGTGATGACGGCTGGTAGCTGGGTGTTGAGGAAGTGCAGACGGGCACCCAGCCTCTGTCTGAGGAGGAATCCCTGGGCCCTGGCCTGCAGCTGCACCACCAGGCCCTCGCTGGCTTTCCAATGCACCTCCCGGCTGTGGGCCGCAGTCACACTGCTCAGCACCGCCTGTAGAGGGAGACAGACCACAGAGACAGTCAGCCATAACTGTTGGCTTAACTAATCAATACAAACTGTAGCTCGTTTGCACTGTATTTACAGGTAATTTTGTATTTTGACCTGTATTTCTTTGTGGGCCAGGAACACTGTGCTCTGAACGAAGCCCTGCGGTCTCTCCCAGGTGCCCTCCAGCTTGTGCAGGTGGAAGTAGTAGGGGCTGTCCTCAGTCTTGGTCTTCAGCCATGGGCTCCGGTTGTCCCCTGAGTCCCAGTACATCAGATAGAGATTAGGGCTTGTCACTACCTAGAAGCTTAAAGGTAGACTCAGTTTTATGATGCTGCCAGGAGCAACACCGCAGATATTGAGACGAGCGCGATACAATAGTCACATAGTATCTGCGCATGAGCACGGGTGCGCTTCACTCTGCTACAATGTGGTGGCTACGGGACCAAAACAGTGGAGAAGTTTAGCCTCACGCTTCAACGCTCTTAGTTGTTGCTGAAATCGACCCGATATTGATGTTTACTTTGTGCATCGTTGAGTCTACGGTTAATGCTGACCAATTATGGCAGCTAATATGCTACTAGTGCATAGATCATCACCAGAATGAACGCAAGTGAATCACGGAAGTGGGTACGGACCTCCCACAGATTTGGCTCCTAGTAGGGCGGTGAGTTCAGCCTGGTACGCTCCAGCGCATTCTGTCCACAACGCTCCGTAGCGCCACCTCTGGCAAACGCAGGACTCGCAGCGTCTGGGACGCCTTGCCCTCCTTCACTGCCTGGTTCACGGCCGCCAAGCCCAGGGACACTGGCCAGGGAAACACACCCACACACAACGTTAAGATAAAGTTATACATTCCGTATAGAATTTCAATATGGCTTAAAAAAAAAACATGATGTGGAGGGTATTATGCCAACTCACTCTTCAGGGCTCTTTGAGTGTCGTGATTGGCTCTTCTCACTCCTTCCTGAATGTCAGCCAACCACAACTCAGCTCCTGGGTCACAGCTCACCTGTGATAGGACAGGGCACAGCATTGAACACAGCATTGAATAATGAACGACAAAATCTTGTTTATATTCCCTGTTTTAAACTATTATGTCTTCATGGCTGACATACCTCAGCCTTCTGCTTCCGGGCTCTGGTAAGTACGTCGTGATAGCGGCAGGCATTGAGTGTCGCCACCTCCTCAAGGCCACTAGAGGGCAGCAGCAGTGCAGCCAGAGTCTTCTGAGGGTCGCCTCGGCACAGAGCCTGGTTAATCAACCCGATGGTGAGGATCTCTGTGGACAAACAGGAAGCAGATCCAGTCAAATACAAGGTGTTCCTCTGGTTTTAGAGTCAAATAGCATCCGACAAAATATTTCTGTCAATGGACCTAAACCCAGAGTGTTTCTGGGAGTTGGTGTTCAGTTCTCCAAACGTACGGTCATGTTCTTCCTGTGCTGCTGCGTTTACAGAGTTAAGTCCTCTCTGGAGCTCGTTCCATGTCAGCAGAACTCTCCCAGCCTTCCTCCTCTGATCACCCAGCTCCTCAAAGTACCTGAGGCAAATAACAAAGGAGTTGGTTAAAGTATACAGATCTGCAACTAGGCTACATGGAGACAACTGAGAATTGTCAGGAGAGTAGTACTGGAAACCCACCTCTGGACTAGGCTGTCATCAATATCGGCCAGGCCGGCTGCAGGGCTGACCAGCGTGGCACAGAAGGCCCCCACATCTTTGGCCTCCACCGCCTGGTTGATGAGAGCCACTGCCGAGAGCATCTCCACTGCTACAAACAGCTCCTCCTGCTGCAGCTCCCCCTGCAGGCACCAAGGACCACATTCACTACAGTTAGTTTACATACAACAAGTTATTCCATTTCGGTAACCTGGTCATTTCCCCCTATATTGTTTATATTACTTTTCATTTTTGTACCTTTATTTTACAAAAATGTTAATGGACACACAGTCTTTTTTACAGCCAAGACAGCATTGCATGGAGTTCAGAGAAAATGAGTTGAGTTGAGATGGGATGGTGGAGATGATTAGGTGACCATGGTAGCTTGAAGGGCCAGGTGGGGGAACTGTAGTCTAACCTACCTGAGGGCTCTGCCGCTGCAGTGGGGCCAGTTCACTCTGGTAGAGCGCTGATGCAAAGGGGTAGACGTCTGGGAGGTGGGCATCAGGATCCATGAGGGCACGAACAGTCTGCCTGGGCTCCCCAAGACGCAGGGCCTCATTGATGGACCTCACAGCTTTCTGCACTGTATAAAACACATGCACATTTTATTTGGATGGATCTACAATGGAACATTGTGAGTGCAAAGGACAGGGCACACATGCAGCAACTCAAAAGTCACTGGAATTGATATAGTGCATGCCCCTTGTGATAGAAACTGACTACGATACAGTATTTAGTTGAGTTTGTACTGACTTGTCTGGTTGTGCTGGGCCTCCTCGTTAGCCACACACACCCCCTCCTGCAGCTCATCTCGCTCCAGAGGGTCCACACAGCCCATGTCCTGCCACAGGTCAGAGAGCAAAGGTCAGGGGTCACAATGTTTGTGTGTGTGGTGCGTGCGTGTGAATGTGCAGTTTCTCACCAGGGCCTTCTGTTCACGGTCAGTGGCCAGCTGCTCCAGGTACCAGGGCCCGTGGTCTCTTTGGAGGCCCCTCAGGGCCAGACAGGGGACCTGGAGGGCTTCCAGGAGGGCCATAGAGTCCCCACAATCCAGGGCCTCGTCCACCTGCTCTATGGCTGCACGCACTGCAAACACAGTGACAAAATACTCGGTTTAGTTCCGATTGTTATTTATCTTCTTATTTATCTGTTTGATGGTTAAGTCCTACCCACCATTCACTTTGTCAATGTTCTCTTGAATCTCACTTTGGGTCAGGTATTCCTCATAGATATCCTTCTCCTCTGAACCGTTACGCTAGAAATTCAGTACACATGATTACTATCCTGACACCAACAGACACTCTGTACCAGGGATACAGCTATAAATGCATTTTTTTATGATCATATTAATTCAGTCAGTTAGTCACCTTGGTGTAGGCGAAAGCCGCCTTCTGTGCCCGTGCCTGGCGCAGCATCTCCTGGTAGACTGGCATCAGGTGCTCCTGCAGGTTGGTGAGCATAGCGCTGGGGTTCCGCAGGGCCTGGGCAGTGACCTCCACGTGCCCCCTCTCCACTGCCTCGTTGATAGCTATAACTGCAGCGTGGACTGGAGGGAGAGAGAAGGGAGATGGAGGCAACCTTTTGGTAAACTATTCAAGGACGGTGACAACATTGACTCTTAGATGACAGTCGATGACCGAGGAACTTCGATAGTATCTGATGCGTCTATAGGCGTTTCAATTTTGGAATCTCATCCATATCAGTTTAAGTGGAGAGTACCAATGCGCCAATAGACAACCCCTTGTCTAAAACAAACACATTTTGGGACCAGTGTGAATTCATATTTTAACTTGAAATATGGTGTATTTTCTATATCTGAAAACAACAAAGCAAAACATCTGTGCCTCTACTTACCAGCAGCCTCATCCACTGTTATCTCATTGGCTAAGATTCCCCCAATCTTGCTAAAGGCTGGCATCTGGATGCCATATTTGTCCAGCTCCCGTTTCATGTTGTTAATCTCCTCCTCTGGAGAATAAATATTACCCCAAAAACACAGGAATGACAGAGGAACATTAATATGGTATTTTCCCTTTAACCCAGTTACCAGTTGTGATTGAATAGTAAGGGCCTACTGGGACTCTTTACCTGTAAATTTGACCTTGCCACAGAGGTCATGGATCTGAGGGGCCAAACCTAGTCGGAAAAGGTAGAGGCTGAGAGCATGGATGCAGTACACAGTCCTGGGCATGTTCTTCTTATCATAGATGTCAGTCGTCTCTGGGTGGAACATCTGAAACAACAAGGATGGGTTAGGTGCAGTTCAGGCATAACAGTAAACAAGATTGCTATTGTTATACGTGAGGAGAGGCCTAATAAAGAGTTTATTTCTCCCTTTAATTATACCGTTGGTAGTCCGATCTCTGCCATCGCATTGCGCCAATGGTTGATGTTGTCTGTGTGGCGGAACTGCAATCCCATACCCTGAGGCAGAAACATATGATCCGTTGGATTAATCTGCATCATGACACATCTTTGATATTCAGCTACACTATTAAATGCATTGGAAATAGAGTATTATGCTTGCTCAGCACAAATTCAAATCTCAGCTCTAAAGGAGTTGGTTTTCAGTCACGTGAAAATACTATATTATAGCAGAAAAGCAGGTACTAGTAAAAATAGGTAGTTCTAAAGGATCCAGAAGGGAAACAAGGGGCAGAGTGCTATTTTTCAGAGAAAAAGAAAGGACAAACTGTCAAAAAGAAAGTTACTCAGCAGGAAACTCAGTCTTTCTTACTGACAGAGGCATTTCTGTAAAACCATTGGGCGGTGAACAGTAGATCAGACCTTAAAGCGTTCCTGGTCCAGGTCATAGATCTTTTTGAGGGGGACTATCTTGGGGGCGAAACAGTGGCCTAGCTTGGCCAGCAGCACCCCGTTCCTCAGGCCCTCCTCCAGCTCAGTCGGGGCAGGAAGCTCCTCATGGAGACAAGCTTCCATCCACCTGTCAAGAGAGAAAGTAAGTCTAATATTAATATACTAGCGAATATCAATGCAAGAATTTGCATGTGATGTGTTGAAACATAATGAGCAATCAGACTTATTGACAGAGATAGTTGCTTTTCCAGTTTCCTGTGGACAGAGAGTTGGCCAATTCACTTCAAAAGCAAGTTAGCTATCCATGATAGGGTGAAGTGATACTGATAGTCTGAAGTAAAAGTCAGTTATTGCCCGAAACCAACTGAGAAGAAAGTTTAAACTGAACATACCTTTTAGCCTCTTCCAAACGGCACAGGTATTGATAGGCAACATTCTGGATGCGTTGTTCATCCATCTCCTCAGCTGTCAACCGCTCATCTGTAAAAAATGTCAAACAATCAAATCACTTTATACAAAGCACCATCTAGTTAGCTAACCTAGCTAAATACCTGAGTTGACATGAACTTGACCCAAGTTAACCTTGACAAGTTAGCTAACGTTAGCTATATAAGGAGCCTTGCAAGCGAGTTAGCTAGCTATAACGTTACAGTAAACCTTTAACGTTAAGGTTAGCTCATTCGCTAACGTTACCTGCTAGCTATAGTTAGCAACCCACCTAAAACAGGCAAAACAACCAGTTTACTGTCTAACAAACTTTGGTTAATTAGGTTACAAGCCACGGTCGCTTAACTTACAGCCTGAACGCGTTTGTGTGCCCGAATCTCCCATTTTCTTGACTTTTTCGCCGACGAGATTACTGGCAAGTAGTCTAAAAACGCTAGTTATATTTTTTGGTGTCAAGTTATCGATATGATTTTCGCATGTGGTTAGTGTTTCAATTAAATTGTTGATCCTGTTTCCACATTCTAAAAAAAAAAATTTTTTACACAATCCTTCCTCCTCTCTTACTGACTCGACTCAACTGTAGTGCAGACACATTTTTCTGTTTACATTTCCGTAAAGTTTGAACTTTGAATATCCCGCCGTCCTCTCATTGGCTAATCAGAAGCTGTTCTGATTGGCCAATACAGGTGGTCGCTTTGCATTGTGGTACATGATTTGTATTTTAGAAACGTTCGAACACACGTGATAACCATAAATAACTTTCTGGGACATGTTTACTTGGTACTTGTAAAAATAAAAATAAATAAAAATGTAAACATTTTGTAAATAGTCATAGATAGCAATAATATATTTAAGTTGCTGCTTCAGTCTCCTAAAATCATTTATATGGCCAACACTCCTCACTTCCTATTTAATATTGCCATAGCAACAGACCTGCTACTTCATAGCTTTCCGTGGCTCTACAAAGCAGTAACTCGCGAACGTTAACTAGCTAACAAGAAAAGCCAGCGATATAGACTAACTAGGTGTTAAGGCTGTACGGATACTTTACCGATGTATTTGTCGAGCTAACCAACTAATTTAAACGGCTCTGTCTTGGATGGATGGTTCATCTTGAAAATGTGAGTGAAATAGCTAGCTAAGTTAGCTACGTCAGCCATGTTACCAAGACTCGAGAAGCTAACGCGTTAGCTAGTCATGTGGTTTCAACGTTGCAGCACATCAGTTGAGATGAAAGTAGCTAAGTTAGCTAGCAAACAAGATAAACATCTGTCCATGCTACTTCTCAAAAATGTTTATTTGAATACGAGAATACTGGCCTATATATGCCTAAAATAAATGTATTTCAGTGAGCAGGAGGTGTGACATAATAGACTTGATTAAACATTTATTTGAAGAAGAGTCCTCATGTTATTAGCCACATAGCTAGTACTCACTGTCACCAAAGGAGGGCAGTACTGTCAGTGTCTCATGACCAGAGTGAGTGTGACTATAATCTGACCTTCATAATTATTTCTCTCCTCTTTCCATCAGTCTCTTCATAATGCTATCCTGTAGCCACCACCTGGCGAACCCAACATGGCATCTGATAGCTACCCTTCACATGAGGACAGGAAGAAGAAGAAGAAGAAGAAGAGTGACGGGGATGTAAAGAGCAACGACAAAGAGGCTGATGTCCTGAAGGTCCAGGTGGACATTGATGAGCTCACAGCCTCTGGCAACATTGCCCTAAAGCAAGGAGACTGTGAAGAAGCTCTCAGCTGCTTCAAAAAGGCCTTCAAAGCTTCCATAGAGGTGACATTACTTAGGCTACTTCCTCATTGTCCCTTTTGAGACATTTTGTACCCATATAATATAGGGCTTACTAAAACTGTGAGAGGGAGAGTTGGGCACATGATTTTCTTGTTTGGAAAATGTCCAGGCAACAAAAGCTAGTCTGGTTCCAAGTCCAAATGGATTACAGTGTTTACACAATCTTTATTGTCCACCAAATGGTAATTGGTTTTCACAACGACATACATCTGACAACCACAACATTTAGACATACTGTATGGAAGAAAGTCAAATATGCTGCATAATGTTTACTGGTACTTATGTTAGCTTTTATAATGTTTAAGTTGCCTCTCTGACCATACTCTATCACCCACAGCTAAAGGAGACCAGGGTCCAGCGGGCATGTGCCTTTAACTTGGGAGCTGCCTACGTGGAGGCAGGGTAAAGCCCAGAAGGGGCTGGACTTCCTGAAGCGTGCCCAGCCAGGAGAGAGGGGCGAGCGGGTAGCAGACCTCCAGTTCAACCTGGCTGTAGCCCATGAGACCCTGGGGAACCACAGCCGGGCGGCTGGTCACTACCTCCAGGCAGCCCAGCTGTACCGCTCCCAGGGGGACGGGGCCAGTGAGGGGGACACCTGCATGAAAATGTCCCACTGTCACCTGCTCCTACAGGTCAGTCAGCTCCAGGTGTATGTTGTTTATGGTTCAGCTCAAGGATCAGATTGCCCTCCCAAAAATCTCAACCCCTAACCATTATAGGGGAACAGTAAACTGTACTTATCTTCATCCCCTTAAGCCATTCCAAAACTTAACACCAGGAGTTTTGCCTTCATGCACATTAAGATTGTGCTGAGGCCTCCCGAGTGGCTTCACTACAGACCCGGGTTCAATCCTGGGCTGTATCACAACCTGCCGTGATCGGGAGTCCCATAGGGCGGTGCACAATTGGCCCAGAATATTGATACATTACTATCTCCAACACTTTTAATCTGCAAAAATGACAAATTAATTAGTGGGTGATGGTGATTTCAGCTCAACCCCGCCCAACTGAAAGTGGGGTGGTAGATGCCGAGTTTCCCTTATGGCTCAGCTCAGGTGCCTACATACAATATAGACATATACATCATTTACACACACGCACGCGCACACACACAGAAGTCAGCTCAGACAGCTACAGCTGAGAGAGGCCCAACTCATAAGCTCCATCAGCAGCAGATTTTAATTTAAAATGGAAAATGAATGTGTTTACGCAACAAATGTTAGTGCATCGCATCGAACCGAATCGCTTCGATTCGTTCCTCTAATCAAACCAAATCGCACCGAATCGTTTCAAACTAAAACAAATTGTTCCTGTATCGAAGCCCATGTATCTAGATGCATATCGAATCGTCTTGAAAAGGAAAGATGCACATCCCTAATTCATAATAATTTGTAAGAGATTCTGCAATGTCTGACTGACTCATTTGAGATGTATAGCAGCCAGATCTATATACTGTCAGCTCACTGACTGTCCTACGTAGAGCTGGTTCTGATTCAAGCTGTGTGTTTTCAGGACTGGACCCAGGCAGCTCAGAGCTTCCAGAGGGCTGGGGAGAGCTACAGGGTGGCAGGCAAGCTGGACTCAGCCGCCACGGCCTTCAAAGAGGCAGGAAGTCACATGCTCCAGTCAGATGACTTCACCATGGATGATATCATCACCGTGCTTACTGATTGCCTCGAGCTGAGCGACAACATCAAAGACCCAGAGATGCTCGGTAGGTAAACTGTCAGGGTAACTGAATTGAGGAAAAAACAAAAGAGTAACAGCATTGTCAGTCAACAATTTGATCACAGTTTTGGGACCTTTTCCCTCCGTCTTTCAGGTAAGGTGTACAACGACCTGGGCTTGAGTTTCTCCCAGCTGAAGTTGTTCCAGGAGGCAGCCGGGTGCTATGAGCGGGCCCTGCCCCTGGCCAGCACCAAGCCCAGCAGGCTGGCTGTGGTCCTACAGAACCTGGGAGCCGTTCACAACACACTGAGCCAGTACCGGCAGGCCCTGGACTACCACCGCCAGGCAGCCAGCCTGCATGGTGAGCTTATTACATCAATTATAGTTATACTGTATTTTCTGCACAGTTCAGTGCTGTTCTTTTCTGTATGTAATAATGATATGCCATTTAGCATGCGCTTTTCTCCAAAGCACTCTGCGTGCATATCTTTTTTCGTATGAGTGGTGCCAGCAAGAATCGAACCCACAACCCTGGTGTTGCAAGCCCTCTACCAACTGAGCCACAGAGAATAATGTGTGTGTGAGGAACATGTCACCTGAGGTGTGTAGGAGTAATTGTTTAGGCAGAGGGGTAGACCATTCCTCACACATTTCATTATACCCTGATTAATCCTTTACAGTATCTGGGTCTGTCTGTGTGTCCAGTGCTCTCCATGCCTCTAATCTGTCTCTGTGAGCAGCTCTCACATTAGCAAAAGAGAGAAGTGTGTGTGTGTGTGTGTGTGGCTGAAACTCCACTGAGGCAATCCCATGGGGACTTACAGAATGCTTACCACAGCACCACTGAGTGACTCACACACTGGTATGTCTTGCGCGTATGTGCATGTAACGGTTATAAGATCTTTTTTGGGTCAGCCAACATGCTGTTGGGGATGTGAGCATGACATTATAGCTACTTATGCTTTTTTTAAGTGAGTAAAAAAGTGATGACGCTGTAAAGATGATCTTGTTCCCTTTATTAACCACTCTCCCTTTTTAATCTATTTTTCTCTCTCACTCTGTATCTCTCTCTGATACCCCTCCCCCTTCTCTCTCCCCCTCATGCTGTGTCTCTGTGTCAGGGTCTTTGGGCAGTCGTCGTGCTCAGGGCCGCTGCTTCAGTAACTTGGCCTTTGCCCTCAGTCAGCTGGGGGAGCATGAGGAGGCAGCAGAGAACTACCTCCACGCCCTGCAGGCCTTCAAAGACACTGGTACAAAATCAAGTCCAACTTTATTCTTTATAATAATAATATAGCATATTTTCATGTTGAAGTGTGTTATAAATGTTTAAACAGACTATTAATGACTCTTTACATCCATTGACCCCTTTTGACACTTTAAGTCTCACCCTCATTCTCTCTCTCTCTCTCTCTCTCTCTCTCTCTCTCTACCTTGTTTACTCAACTTTCTCAATATCTCTTTATATTTATCTTTCTTCCTCCTTTTCTCTCTCGCTCTCTCTATATATCTAGATGACTATAAGGGCCAATGGCAGGCTTGTGAGGGTTTAGGGGAAGCTCGTTTTAAGTTGAGAGACCTGGAGAGAGCCACCCTCTACTACAAACAAGCTCTGGGTTTACTGTCAAAGTGCAAGGTAAAGGGAATCACTACTACAAATACACCAACCCATACAATCTATCCCCAATAGAATATACTTTTTCCAGTTATATATGGTTACTCAGACCTTATCAGACCGTATAACGTTGGTTAACCGCTGTCTTCATTTCCAGGACTCATCCAGCTCGGTCCAGGAGCGTCTGGTCAACAAGCTGAGTGAGGCCCTGCAACACAGGCTGTCACTGACCACCCCTGGAAAACCCCAGGTAGGTACTGTCTGGACACCACACTCCTGACCTTCATACTCGGTTGCAGGAAAACAAACTGATTTGTTTATCTATCATCCAGTATCTAGTTAATATATCAACACTATAACCAGATAATATATCAACCATCTTCTGGTCTGTTGGTGGGAACTATAATGAAGTGTGTGTGTGTGTGTGTGCGTGTGATGTGCGTGCTTGTGTGGAAACCATCACTACACTCTGCATAGAGCGGTCTCGGCCCTCGTCTACATACTCAAAATAGAAAAGCTGTTCTGAATGGCCATAGGGCAAACAACAAGACCCCAAGGTGAGGACCTTCAGCTTAAATGTTTACTGTGAAAAATGTGTTTCCATTTCAAGCCACTTTCAACTCTCTTGTAGAACTTGTTAGTGTACTCATGCATTTAGACAGTTTAATCTCCAGTGTACTGACTGGGCTGTTGTTCCCTAGTGAGTGGAGCTGGCTCTGCAGAGGTGTCTACCGAAGAGCAAGGGAAGGAGGAGGAAGCCCTGGGGCCAGATGGAGAACAGGTACACACAGTGACCATGGGAGAAGCAGGTGACTCCCAGTCACCGGTGACAGGATCTCTCACTGAGCAGCCGGGCTATCTGACTGTGCTGCCAGGGGCAAACAGGCAAGGCATTTAACACACACACACACACACACACACACTGTAAACATCATCATACATGTGCACACAATGCACATTATCACTAATTTACTGTACACATTGGCACACATACATAGATGCACCATTATACACACATGTGCATACGCCCAATAACACCCATCCAGACAACCCATAAATAAACCCAGGGTAATTTTACTTGTTGTGATTGACTTTGATTCTTTATTAGCACACTGGAAAAATCAAACACTTTTTCATTTCGTGCCACCAGACGCCGGCCTCTTAAATTGTTTATTTTTGCAGAATGTCGTTAAGGTATAAAGACCTGTTGGGTTTTCTTAAATTACACTGAAGAAGATGAGCTCTGGGAGTGTCTGCTCTGCAGAGAAGACTAGAATAATGGGAAAATGGAGAGTCATCAGACAGCCACAGATGTATCATAAGAGCACCAGCAGAGAAAACAAAACCTCATACATAATTCATGTGCATGGGGATGACCTTGGCCTCCACTGATGATTCATTACCATCCTCCTGTAAACACACACACACACTCATTTCTGCATAGCTGCACTGTTTGTTATTCTCCCGTTCCCCGAGTAACCATATATCTAAGATGCCTTTAACTTGGCATTGCTGTGTGTGTGGCCAATGTTACACTGCTGCTTGTCATTTTAATTATTCTTGAAAAGTTATTTTTGAGATGAAGATGTTTGAGCGTGACTCTTCCTCTCACCTCCAGGAACCTGAATAATACATATGAGCAGCCCGATCCCCATTACCAGACCCCATCAGACCACCCTGGACTCACCCAGCAGCGTAAGAACCACTCCCCCTCAATCTTAACCTGAGAAACAGGTGCACAACATGAACTTTTGCACAAATCTCCCATTGGGGAAGTAGCTAGCTACTAGCTATAAGTAGTCTGTGGGCTAAGTAGTCCTTATTTGGACAGAGGACCACTCTAGCCTGTTAAAATAAAGCTATAATTTTTTAAAATCCACATTCTGCACATAATATTATTGTTACAAGAAAGTAATGGCTATGTTATCAAAAGCTTTGTTCAACCTATTTAGACTGTTTGTTTTAATCCTTCTGTAGGTGAGCATTTATATGAGAGCATTAAACCGAGGACAACACAGACTAACAGGTACGTAATGTTGACTGAGTTATTTCCAGTAATCAGCTTTGGTTTGATACTGACTGAACACGTATCATGTGTTTTAGTGAGACTCCATTGTCCGAGAGCTCCGAAGTTCCACCCACTGGTGTGTCAGATAATGAAGAGACCATACCCCTGTTAAAGAAATGGAAGTCCCAAATCTGCACAGTCATGTGACTAGATGCAAGTCCAGGCTAATGTGGTTGGTTAATTGAAAGTATTCATAGGAATGACTCTATTGAGTGTATTTCTATGGGTCAAATCTGCTCTTTGCAAATTGGTATAAAAAATTATAATGCACATGTAAGTAAGTGCTACTGTAGAATATTGTCTGTCTCATCTCCTGCATGTACAAGTGTTGCCTTGTCATTGCCTTTGTCTTCCAAACACTCCTTGTGTGTATGCTGGTCATTGTCCCCCACAATGAAATCGGGAGGGGACTGTGGATCTGTCTCCGTCCGTTAATACATTAGTATGTTCGTTCGTATGTTAGTCACAAGCGATATCTCAGACACCACTGTCCCGATTTTAACGAAACTTCGGTGAATGATGCGTCTTGCCATAGAGCTCCGTCATTTACAAAACTACACTGATTGGCCCAAGGGAAGCGCTGCATCATTCGTGGGGGATGACATGTTTACTGTTGCCTTATTTCAAGATGTCTTGATAGTCAATATTCTAAGATTGTCATAATGTGTATAATTTCTTTGATCATGTTAACTTAAATCTCTACTCTTCAGTTGAATAATGGTTGTACAATTTGAAATAAATGTAATCTATTTTTGAAGTATTTAACTGTGATCCCTTTGTAAATTAATGGTCCCCCCAAGGCTTAACAAAGCCATCGCCGTTTATCATTGCTACAAGAGAACACAAAAATAACAAGTGCTCAATCTGTTTTCAATTGGTTATCCTAAAGGGCACACTTTGAGAAAATATGCCTAACCTAACCTCCCCCTGTCCAAAAAATGCTATCTCTATTCTGTGCTTGCGGACGAAGGCCTACTGATGTCCTGTTCCGTTTGAGAGGGAGAGCACAAAGATGAGAAAGAGGACCGGCAGTAAGCTTTTGTCACGATCGTTGAGAGACGGGTCAGACCAAGGTGCAGCGTGGTATGCGTACATGTTTATTAATACGAATAAACACTTGACAAAATAACGAAACGTGAAGCTCAAACAGTGGCTACAACACAACAAGCCAAACACGAGTCAAGATCCCGCAACCAGGCTACCTATGTATGAACCCCAATCAGAGACAACGAGCGACAGCTGCCTCTGATTGGGAATCACACCCGGCCAAACAGAAATACAACTACTAGAAACCAACATAGAAATACAATAACATAGATCTCAAACTGAACTCACACCCTGACCCAACCAAACAAGAGTTCTCTAGGTCAGGGCGTGACCGCTTGCTACTGCTAGAATTGATTTGAATAAAAACAATATGTTTCGTTGCCCGTAATGAAGCTATGTATCAGTGTTATTGACCTCACAATAAGCCATATTCGAGTAATTTACAAAACGTACATTACTATGAAGCGACAGCCGTGGAGATGGACAGCGCATGGGTGCTAAAGGTAGGCTAATTCGAGAAGGCCTAATTCATTTAAACAGTCTTCATTTTAATTTTACTTTAGACTACTAACAACAAGAGGGCTTTGTGTTGGAGCCCATGTCTTCCAATTCATGAAATAAGAGGTAGGCCTACCTGTTTGACAGTTGAAATTATAGTCTACTATCCATAGATTTTGTCAGCCAATTCCTTCAGTCACCATGCACTCCTTAAATATCTAAGTGTCAGTGAAGAGCTTGGTGTGTTAAGTTAAAACCAGGGCTCGAATTGATGGGGTATGTGAGGGTATTGTGGCTTTTATTTGATTTTTAATGCTAAAAGCATAGGCCTACCCCTTGTTAGCTTAAGATTTAGAAGAAGAAAAAAAATGGACCTGGATGGATATATATATATATATATATATATATACACACAGTGGGGAGAACAAGTATTTGATACACTGCCGATTTTGCAGGTTTTCCTACTTACAAAGCATGTAGAGATCTGTAATTTTTATCATAGGTACACTTCAACTGTGAGAGACGGAATCTAAAACAAAAATCCAGAAAATCACATTGTATGATTTTTAAGTAATTAATTTGCATTTTATTGCATGACATAAGTATTTGATCACCTACCAACCAGTAAGAATTCCGGCTCTCACAGACCTGTTAGTTTTTCTTTAAGAAGCCCTCCTGTTCTCCACTCATTACCTGTATTAACTGCACCTGTTTGAACTCGTTACCTGTCTAAAAGACACCTGTCCTCAATCAAACAGACTCCAACCTCTCCACAATGACCAAGACCAGAGAGCTGTGTAAGGACATCGGGGATAAAATTGTAGACCTGCACAAGGCTGGGATGGGCTACAGGACAATAGTCAAGCAGCTTGGTGAGAAGGCAACAACTGTTGGCGCAATTATTAGAAAATGGAAGAAGTTCAAGATGACGGCCAATCACCCTCTGTCTGGGGCTCCATGCAAGATCTCACCTCGTGGGGCATCAATGATCATGAGGAAGGTGAGGGATCAGCCCAGAACTACACAGCAGGACCTGGTCAATGACCTGAAGAGAGCTGGGACCACAGTCTCAAAGAAAACCATTAGTAACACACTACGCCGTCATGGATTAAAATCCTGCAGCGCACGCAAGGTCCCCCTGCTCAAGCCAGCGCATGTCCAGGCCCGTCTGAAGTTTGCCAATGACCATCTGGATGATCCAGAGGAGGAATGGGAGATGGTCATGTGGTCTGATGAGACAAAAATAGAGCTTTTTGGTCTAAACTCCACTCGCAGTGTTTGGAGGAAGAAGAAGGATGAGTACAACCCCAAGAACACCATCCCAACCGTGAAGCATGGAGGTGGAAAAATCATTATTTGGGGATGCTTTTCTGCAAAGGAGACAGGACGACTGCACCGTATTGAGGGGAGGATGGATGGGGCCATGTATCGCGAGATCTTGGCCAACAACCTCCTTCCCTCAGTAAGAGCATTGAAGATGGGTCGTGGCTGGGTCTTCCAGCATGACAACGACCCAAAACCCACAACCAGGGCAACTAAGGAGTGGCTCCGTAAGAAGCATCTCAAGGTCCTGGAGTGGCCTAGCCAGTCTCCAGACCTGAACCCAATAGAAAATCTTTGGAGGGAGCTGAAAGTCCGTATTGCCCAGTGACAGCCCCGAAACCTGAAGGATCTGAAGAAGGTCTGTATGGAGGAGTGGGCCAAAATCCCTGCTGCAGTGTGTGCAAACCTGGTCAAGACCTACAGGAAACGTATGATCTCTGTAATTGCAAACAAAGGTTTCTGTACCAAATATTAAGTTCTGCTTTTCTGATGTATCAAATACTTATGTCATGCAATAAAATCCAAATTATTACTTAAAAATCATACAATGTGATTCTCTGGATTTTTGTTTTAGATTCCGTCTCTCACAGTTGAAGTGTACCTATGATAAAAATTACAGACCTCTACATGCTTTGTAAGTAGGAAAACCTGCAAAATTGGCAGTGTATCAAATACTTGTTCTCCCCACTGTGTGTATATATATATATATATATATAACTACCGTTCAAAAGTTTTGGGTCACTTAGACATTTCCTTGTTTTTTGTCCATGAAAATAACATAAAATTGATCAGTGTAGACATTGTTAACGTTGTAAATGGCTATTGTAGCTGGAAACGGCTGATATTTAATGGAATATCTACATAGGCGTACAGAGGCCCATTATCAGCAACCATCAGTCCTGTGTTCCAATGGCACGTTGTGTTTGCTAATCCAGGTTTATCATTATAAAAGGCTAATTGATCATTAGAAAACCCTTTTGCAATTATGTTAGCACAGCTGAAAACTGTTGTGCTGATTAAAGAAGCAATAAAACTGGCCTTCTTGAGACTAGTTGAGTATCTGGAGCATCAGCAATTGTGGGTTCGATTACAAGAACAAAATGGCCAGAAACAAATAACTTTCTTCTGAAACTCGTCAGTCTATTCTTGTTCTGAGAAATGAAGACTATTCCATGTGAGAAATTGCCAAGAAACTGAAGATCTTGTACAACGCTGTGTACTACTTCCTTCACAGAACAGCGCAAACTGGCTCTAACCAGAATAGAAAGAGGAGTGGGAGGCCCCGGTGCACAACTGAGCAAGTGGACAAATACATTAGTGTCCAGTTTGAGAAACAGACGCCTCACAGGTCCTCAACTGGCAGCTTCATTAAATAGTACCCGCAAAACACCAGTCTCAACGTCAACAGTGAAGAGGCGACTCCGGGATGCTGACCTAGGCAGAGTTGTAAAGAAAATTATTATTTAAGCTATGTTATTATTTCAAGGCTATAGCCTGCCATTTTCAGAAATAAATTGTGAAGCATTTGTGACATGCTACAGGCTGGCAGGAGCGCTCGGCATTTCAACAACAGCACGTTAGCAACATGCCTATACATTTTGCAATTATGCTGTATAAAATTACATGTAAAAAAACATTGCTTACAATTAAATCATCATAAAACAAAAAATGCCTTATTACGCTATATATTCATTCAACAGTGCCTTTTGAACTCACTTTTAGAAACACAAGTTTGGCCAGTCTTTGGTTTGAGGATCACGCGGTGAGCTATGCATGCCTAGTTTGTTCATTTAGCCTAGCAGATGCTCTTATATTCCCATGCCCTAATCACAGTATTGATCAAATCTTTACTAATGCTGCAGAAATTTGTTAGAAAGCAGTATGCAAATCCATCGGATGTAGTGATCACAATATAGTAGCCATATCTAGGAAAACCAATGTTCCAAAGGCTGGGCCTAATATTGTGTATAAGAGGTGATACAAAAAGTTATGTAGTGATTCCTATGTTGTTCATGTGAAGCATATTTGTTCGTCTGTGGTGTGTAATGACGAGAAACCAGATGCTGCACTTGACACATTTATGAAATTCCTTATCCCAGTTACTAATAAGCATGCACCCATTAAGAAAATGACTGTAAAAATGGTTAAATCCCTGTGGATTGATGAGGAATTGAAAAATTGTAAGGTTGAGAGGGATGAGGCAAAAGAGATGGCAAATAGGTCTGGCTGTACAACCGATTGGCAAATGTACTGCAAATTGAGAAATAATGTGACTAAACTGAATAAAAAGAAGAAGAAACTACACTATGAAACAAAGATAAATTACATAAAGAATGAAAGTAAAAAGCTTTGGAGCACCTTAAATGAAATTTCGGGCAAAAAGGCAAACTCCGCTCCATCATTCATTGAATCAGATGGCTCATTCATCACAAAACCCACTGATATTGCCAACTACTTTAATGATTTTTTCATTGGCAAGATTAGCAAATTTAGGCATGACATGCCAGCAACAAACGCTGACACTACACACCCAAGTATATCTGACCAAATTATGAAAGACAAGCATTGTAATTTTGAATTCCGTAAAGTAAGTGTGGAAGAGGTGGAAAAAGT